AGCCCCCAGAGCAGGTGCTGTTACCATGCTCATCGGAGGAGGTCAGCTGAGGGGACAGTGTTCTCATGATATAATTCAAATTTAAAGAAAAATTATAAGCTTAATTCCCTTATGATTGTCATTAAGAGTCCCCAAATGTTGATATTTGAGCAAATTTTATTGTATTACATTCCCTTCTATTTTTTTTTTTTTGATAGGGCTGTCATGACAGAAGGTCATGGCCTGCGTGGCTTCAGAGCTGGAATTCATTTTCTTACACTTTACACTGGAAGTTGAGGACAAAGCTACAACAGGGTTGATTTCTCCAGAGGCCTCATCTTCCCAGTCTTCCTCTGTGTGAGCACCCCTGGCTCTCCTTGTATGTCAACATTCCCACTTCTTCTAAGGACCAGAATCAGATGAAATTAGTCTACCCTAAAGACCTTATCTTAACTCACACTTCTTTAAAACTGGCTGATATTCTCAGAGTCAGAGGACACAGTACCCACAGGGCAGCTCACAACCATCTGTAACTCCAGTAACAGGGAATCTGATGTCCTGTCTAGTATCTTAGGGCCCTGCCCACATGTGGCGCAAATAAACGTTTGCAAGCAAATATTTGTGCACAATAAATAAATATTTTTTAAAAAGTCCTATTTCCAAGTATAGCCATGTTCTGAGGTGTGTTAGGTATCCTTCAATATCCACAATTTGATGACACAATTTAGCCCACAACATGATGTCTTAGGGTTTTTATTGCTGAGATAAACACCATGATCTAGCTGGGTGTTGGTGGTGTACCGCTTTAATCCCAGCACTTGGGAGGCAGAGGCAGGCGGATCTATGTGAGTTTGAGGCCAGCCTGGTCTACAGAGCAAATGCCAGGACAGACTCCAAAGCTACACAGAGAAACCCTGTCTGGAAAACAAACAAACAAACAAAAAAACCCCCCAAACCAAGAAACAAACAAACCAAAAAAACACCAAAAAAACAAAACCAAAAAACCCCACCATGATCAAAAGCAGCCTGGGGAGGGGAGGGTTTATCTCATTTTACAGTTTGTAGTCCATAGTCCAGGGAAGTCAGGGCAGAAACTTGGAGGCAGGAGCTGATGGCAGAGGCTATGGAGGAGCACTGTTTACTAGCTTGCTCCTCAGGGCCTGCTCAGCCTGCGTTTTAGGACCACCAGTGTTGGGACCCGGCCTCCACGGGGTCTCTGTGAGTTGTTTTCCAGCATAACCACAGGTACCTCCTGTTTTCCTGGCCTCGGTCCACTAGCATCAACACCTGTTGTGAACCCTTATACCTGGGGTTTTTGTAAGTCTGTATATAAGGCTGCTCCACAATAAAGGAGAGACACATTCTCTCAGAAAACACATTCTCTCAGAAAACGACCAGACTTCTTGTCATTCATCCAAATCTCCAGACTTTCACCTGATACTCGGACTTAGTAGTGGTGTAGGCAGCCAGCCACCAGGCCAAGGTTGGCACTGCCCACAGTGAGCTGCTCCCCACCCCACCACATCAACCAAGAAAATGCACTACAGGCTTGTCCACAGGACAACTGGTGAAGGCATTTTCTCATCAAGTTTCCCTCTTTCCAACCGACTCTAGCTTGTGTCAAGTTGACATAAAAACTATCTAGCACAGACTATTCACACGTTTGTATCTCCGTGCCTTCATGGTAGACCAAAAACAAGCTGTCACTTTACCTAATACTTCATGAGTATTTCCTAAAATCAAGAACACTTCCCTACAGCTCACAGAACAACTAGCAAAACAAGGAGGTTGGCAATGCTATACTGTGAGAGTAGGGTAATGTCTGCTATGAGCTACCAAGCTCTCAAATCCATCTGTTTGTTCCATTGCTGGTTTAACTTGGGTCACTAGTGAAGGTTGGGTCTGCCAAGTTCTTCCATTGTAGAGTTACTATTTTCCTTCCATAGCTAATAATTAACTATTCCAGGCCAGCGAGAAAGCCCAGCAGACAAAAGTGCTTGCTGTGCAAGTCTGATGACCAGAGTTTGATCCCTGGATTCCACAATGAAAGGAGAAAACTGACTTCTGAAAGTTGGCCTTCTAGCCAGGGTGGCACACACCTTTAATCACAGCACTGGGGAGGCAGAGGCAAATGGATCTCTGTGAGTTTGAAGCCAGTCTGGTCTACACAGCAAGTTCCTGTCTCAAAAAGCCAAAAAGCCAAAAAAAAAAAAAAAGTTAGCTTTCTGACCTTCACCCCCACCCCCACCATACACACAATAGCAATAAATCAAATAAAAACATAAAATAATAGTTAACAGTTGTCTTGTGAAAAATTACCTTGAAGCTATGAGAATCTCTTTTTTAAGGTTTTTTTTGGGGGTGCCCATGTGAGTACAGATGCCAGCTGGAGGCAGAAGCCAGAGGTTTCAGACACCCCTGAAGCTGCAGTTACAAAAGGTTGTGAGTCACCTGGTGTGGGTAATGAGAACCTAGCTCAAGTCTTCTGCAAGAGCAATATATGGCCTTAACTGTGAGCCAATTCTCCACCTGAAATACCTTTTTTTAAATTTTCACATTGTATTCCTCATCATCCTCTCTCTCTCTCTCTCTCTCTCTCTCTCTCTCTCTCTCTCTCTCTCTCTCTCTCTCTCTCTCTCTCTCTCTCTCTCTCTCTCTCTCTCTCTCTCTCTCTCTCACACACACACACACACACACAGAGAGAGAGAGAGAGAGAGAGAGAGAGAGAGAGAGATGTCTAGGCCAGAAGACAGCTTTGTAAGGGTCACTACTCCCCCTTGACCATTACATGGGTTCTATGGGACTGAACTGTGATGTCAGGCTTACATCCTTGGGTGGCAAGTGTCTTTATCTGCTGAGCCATCTTGCTGGCTCCAAACTATGAGAATATCTTGCCTCTTGTCAAACACAAATTCCTGCTGATGATCATTGTTGCAATGTGTTATTACAATGTGGTGGCTTGATGGTCACTCTAATGCCACCGTTCTCTCCTCTTGAGGGATTTCCATGCTTTGTTTCTATTTATTTCTATCAGGGTAAACTCAACAATTCTCACTTAATAGGTTACGATCCATTACTGCTCTATTTAAACGCCCAAGTTGTCCCAGATTTAGCTAGTCAGAGCTGCCTCAAGCCAGAGAGCCCTGCCCCACTTTTTTTTTTTCTTACAGGAAGGCAATTTATTAACAGAAAACAACCTGAAAAGTCCTGTCCACAGACAGTGACCACAGCGACCTTCTTTCCTGTGGGGGCTGTTTGAGGGGATGGAGGTCACATCCTCAATCAGCCTGATCCTTCATTCCAAGTGAGCAGGAACTCTGAGGACTGACAGGTTCTGGAGTCGTAGTCTTGTTTCCTCCTGTGGCCCACAGTTTGGTAGACAGGATAACAGTGCCCAGTCCTTGAAGCCGACATGACAGCATATGGGGAGCTTTCACCTTCACCCCACCAGTCCTTCTTGGCAATGGTTTCCTTACCAGAAAGATCAGTGACACTGACAAAGGTGTCACTGAAAGATGCAAAGATGTGAGAGATACCAAATAATTCTCTCCTCCAACCACCTGAGCTCTGAGGTGGAAGACCTATTCTTCATCATTTGCCTTTGCCTTGCAGCGTACTTTTTTTTTTTTTTTTTTTTGAGTCCTCTTGGGTCTCTGCCACTGGAAGGAGAGTGTGAGAAGGCCAAGCCCACTTTTAAATGTGACAGTGCACAACATGGTTTGACCATTACCAAAACAAGATCAACCTCTATGGGCATCGGGGTGTGGATATGAAGCCTTCCTTACTCCTTGGTGCTCTTAGGCTGGGGATGAGGCCAAAGGCTCTAACCACATGGAGTCCCCACGTGTCGTATGGTCTACCGGATTCCTTCACTAGTTGAGCACCTATTTGCCAGGCATGGCCTCAGCTCTTTAAAAGGTAGGAAAGTGGGGGTGAACAGGAGAGACAGCTCATGACTGTGTGCTTCTAGAGTTTGAGAACATTAGTTCAGAGGCCAGACTTTAAACAATTCTTATTTATAACTTTTATATGTAGCTTAAACTCATTTGTTGTGTGTCTGTGTGTGAGTGCATACATGCCACTGTAAGTATGTGGCGGTCAGAGGACAGCCTTCAGGAGTCGGTTGTATCCTTCCATGTGTAAATTGTGGGACCAAACTCCAATTGTCAGAGTTAGTGACAGGCACTTTTACCCACATGGTGGAGGCAGGAATCACTTGGGCAAGTGGAGGCACAGTTGAAGATCCAGGTCCCATAGGTACAAACAGAAACGGCATTTAAAACCACGAGACTGGATGAGCTCATCCGGGCAAAGGGTGTCGATCGAAGAGAGAAGAGTCCAGTGAACTGTAAAGTGAAGCGACATCTCCCCTGCCACTCTCGAGAGGTGTCACGTGAATGCATCCAGAGGACAAAGTCTGGAGGCTACTGAGAACCCAGGAAGCTCTGGCTGTGGGCCCCTAGAGCGGGGCCCACTAGGGGCGGGGTCTCACTTTGGCTGTGGGCGTGGCCTTGGCTCGGGCCGCAGCTCTGGGACCGGCCAGTGGCCGGGGCGATGACGTCAGTGCATGACTGGGTTTTTATGAATGAAAGGAATCCTGTGCGTGAGTAATTCCGGGAAACTCGCCTTACAACTGCGCGCGGCTCCGGCCCCCTGCGCCGCCCGCCTCATAACAAAACTCCGAGCGGCGCTACGCGGAGCCGGGTTCCTAGTGAACCGCGGTCCCAGTTGGAGAGGAGTGGGGCTTGAGAGCGGCCTGGGACCGCCACCGCGACAGCTGCGGGGACAGCTGCGACAAGCGCGCACGTAGAGTCGGGCCTGGCAGAGAGAGGTAAGGACGCGTCAGGGACCGGGACCGCGCCTGGGGTGAGCGCTCCG